CCCGACCCCCCGGCAGGCTGCTTGGCTAGTTCAGAAGCGAGCATCGAGGTGCCTTTTTTCCTTCTAGCGTCACCCTTTGAAGAAATCTCCTGAAGCGTGACCCCTACACGTCCCCACAGCCACCTGCATTTATGCACAGGGCTTCTAACCAGCTATTTACTTTTCCTCTTACTCAGCTGCTTCCAGAAGTAAGAGTAATCCAAACATACCCGTGTCCTTCCTTAATGAACAGCATTTAGATTGCTCTCTGACATACGTATACATGGAAGATCTGTGTAGTAGCACTATGGAGGGCTGCAGTGGTATGTTTAATTATCTTTTTATTTTCTGTGTCCTAGCAAGCAAGCTTCTAAGAAAGGCTCCTCCTTCGTAAAGCTCCTTCGATGCCAGTTGCAGTAGATTCTCAGTTATGTTTTTCCCTTGTACTTCAGTTTGTTACTGCAGCCATAAATCTTCCCTACCTTTTTTCTAATACTTGGTTACTTACCAAGCCAAATGCCTCTCCAAGCTTGAAAAAGGAGTCAGAGCTATGAACTGAGAATTACAGTCAGTATAAAAGTAATCCAGGAAGTTACCACAGCAGAGGTATCACAAGCAGTTTTTCTTCCCAGCTGTGGTCACATCAGCTTCTTTTACACTGCATTCGCTCATTGGTCCCAGTCGTGCAATGTGCCTCTTTCAAAGGAAATGGAGGGATTGCTTCAGCTCACGCTAAACAGTTACATACCACCTGCAAGCAATTAACTTTTTTTATTTCCTCTTTTTACCTTAAACCATTCTCTCAAATTTCTGTAGAGGATTTTTACCAGCTTTCTCCTTCTAGAGGAAAACAGAACACAAGGATATTCTTCTCTACTTCCTGAACCACACCTATTCACCATTTCTTATCTCACATGCATTCACTCTGAGCAGCATCATTTGTCACAATGTGAAAGGCTACAACAGGAGAGAAAAGTGAGATCGGGATAGTGGAGTCTCTAAGTATTACCGTCTTCTGACATTATCCTCTTTCATGTTCTAGGTGCTACTTTCAACAGGCTTCTGTTCCGTTTGGAGCACTGTCACACATTCCATTCTTGTGGCAGTACCACACCTCAAACCCTCAAAGTGGGGTTCTGTGGTCTCTCCAGAGATTTGTAGGCCTTGGTTATGCCCACTCTAATGCTTGCATGCCTAGCGCTTGTGCAGGGAACTGACCTGTCTGAAAAAGCGAGTATATCTGGTAAAGATTAGCCTCACCATAAGGAACTCGAATTATCTCATGCAGTCACACAAGCACTGTCACCACTGCAAGGCAAGGCAGAAGAGCTGGGGCTACAGCAGACCAGATGTACATCAGCTTGAGATATCAGGGAAACAGGTTCACAGGCCCCTTCGTTCATCCTACGTAGTGCCTAGAAACACTAAAGAGCAGGGGACAGTTGCTTTGTCTCTGTGCGCTCTGACACACAGCCAAACATCAGTAGTCCCAGGCTGCCAGGTACACACTTCAAAGAACAAACTGGAGATTTCAAACCAAAATATACATACGTGTGTGTACAGTGAAGGTTCCCTGCAACAATTTACAATTCACTTGTAAGTACATAACTTTCACAACCATAAAAGTGTATTGAATAACCAAGACATGGCTCACTGCATTAATGTTTCACTTGCATTGAAGAACAGGCTGGAGTCCATCCAGCACGCACAGGCTGGGAGAAATTCAAGCTGCACAACTAGAAAGTTTAAGCTTAAACAGAAGTTCAAGAAGAAGCTGGCCATTCTGAGCAGCAGCAAAGAAAAAGGAATAGGCAGGTCTCCAATCTGCCAGGATGCTGAATTCTAAAGGACAATGGCTAAAAGAGGGGTACTGCTGTACAAGTTGCTCCTTCACATTTCACAGCTGCACCACTTCTCAAGAATTCAGGAGAACCAAAGACACTCAGGGTTCTATTAACTAGCATCGAGAATCGGTTTAGACTTTTTCCTGCCATAGCACTGCTTTGCTAGAATTAAATCTTAACTGCAAAGCATAGAAGAAATTGCGTTGTTTTCCCTTTTAAGTTTGTTTGGCATAAAAAGTAAGCCCATAAACAGAAAATAAAATCGAGTAATCTTCCCTACCACCACCACAAGAATGAGGAACATATTCATTCAGTGCTCACTAGGTGATTACAATTGATTTAATCTGTTCTAAGTTATCATTTAACTTCTGAAAGTAATTGTTCACTTGCTTTGGAACCCTGAAGCTTCTCTGGTAGGTTTTTTGTTAGTTTGTTGGGGATTTTTTAATAAATAGCAAGCTTCTGTGGTTTACTAATCCAAATTCCCAATTCATGTGCTACAGGAATAATGCCAGTAGTAAATGACTGTGCAAGACACTATCACCCACAACCCATTTTTTCCTGTCAACCTTGAATTTACCCATCACCCAATTTAATAACTAAATTGGTGAGTATGTACAGCCACAGTCACAGAAGTGTGGCTATGACCTTAACTCATCCATACTTTTTTTTTTTTTTACATTCCTTATACTCTTTTTTTCCTTTTATAGTGCACATAAACATATGTACAAATAGCTCCTGACAGAACTCTACGTCTGCAGTGAATTAATTTACAAGATAGTAAAATCATTTTATGTTGTTACTGTTAGGACATTATTTTCAGTCTTCAATGCTTAGCAAAATTAAGATCATGCGAAAGCAGTCTCGTTGCTTTCTGTTGGTTTTTGAAGCGTGTTCTGGTTGCACAAAAATAACTAGGTTCTTCTTTAACTGTCAAACAATATTAAAATTTTCAGTCCCGAAGCAGTGTTCCTCGAAGAACAGATGAACAAACATGTGTTTCAAAAAGGAAGCATGAACAGAACATTTTTGGAACATACAAACATTTGATCTTCCCCAGTAAAAAATGTCTAAAGAATAAAAGCTATTTTTTAACTGCGTTTCTTTAAAGCATTCTCAGGCATCTCCTCAGGACTGGTGGTGTTTGTAGGACAGCACAGGAGACACTGGCAGAACTGGTGATATTGGAATTGTAGTCAGCACCTGATTCTGGAAGACAAACATTTTAATCCTACCAAACACCCAAAGAAAGATAAGGAGAATGCTGACATACTGGATCCAGGCAAACTTAATCATTTCCCAAAATCCTGGCTGATATTTAAAGAAAGTCAAGGATTGTTCATGAAGAAGCTTCTGATACTACCCTTGTGATAATTAAAAAAAGGAACTCAGAAGTGGAAAGGCACAAAGTTAGACATCAGTTTGTGTGGCAAATGCAAAGCCTTTGAGGTGCGGCAACTCTTAAAAGCCTTCTACCACAGTATGTAGCAGAAGCTGCAGAGAAGTCTGTCCTACAAGACGTTTAAACCAATTGTGTGGAAAGTGCCTATTTTGTCTCTGGATCACCAGAAAGTGGTTGTTGGTAAACAAACCTTGTAAAAAAACGCACTCCATGCAGATTCCTTTAAACACAGGCTTGTTCTTTTCTGAGAAAATGAGTGAAGAACGTAATAAAAGAATTATTTTGTGAAGGAAAAAAGAAGTCAGATCTGTCTGCACACATAACAGATTTGCCACATCCACTGCGAGGGTTATTATTTGGTGAGCTTACCTTGCATACAGATTTCTAATAAGGTGCTTTAGTTCACAGAGTACAGTATCGTGCTTTGCTAGTGGAAACCACGACAGACTGGAAGAGCACAAGACTTACTAAGGATATTCACTGTGAATGGCTGAGAAACTGCCTTAAAGGACAGTTTAGTAAGGCTGAAAAGCAGCACAGCTTCCCAGTAGAGAAAAGCAAAAAGCGGTTATGAAGCAGAACCACCTAGAGGAACAGGCAAATAGGTATGAAGTTAACTCCAGAACTACAGCGTTTGGTTAGTTCTCAAAGGAAAAGCTTAGCAACAAGTCTAGAAGAAAACAGTTTTCATTTGGCCTGTATGTGAAGGCCCAAATAATGTAACTCAGTTATGTCACAGTTATGCAGTTTTCAAAGGATATAAGATAATTTCCACTGGGTAATGAATAGTGGCACTAATGACAAACGGTGTATCTGTTGCTCTTCCAGTCACCCAAACAGGGCTGGGATCTGAAAAGACTGTTGTCACTAAAATGGAGAAAGGAAAACATCCAAGTTAAGGGATGTTGAGTTTCAGTCTTAATACAGACTCAAATTCTCACAGAAGAGCTGCTAATTACTGCTGTCCTGCAGTTTGCAGCTATGCGTTCAGGCTTACCGTTCCTCTCCGAATATGCTGCAATGATGTTTGTTAAATCATAGTCACTCGCAAAAGGACTCGTGCCATTGACCACAGACACCTGTTACAATAAGGAGATACTTGCGTTATTTGTCCACTCTTCAAGGAAGATTCTACTGAGTTTCTTACACAAAGTAACCACTCTCTCAAAGGAATGCACACAAATATCAGACTGAACATCCTGGCAGAATAATCTCTTCCAGTTCTCAACCTAACAAGGAAACACCAGTCCCAAAATTCTAGGGTCCACTTTGTGCAGGAGTACAAATAAACAGGGTGTCACCTACGGAACTAGGACAATAAAGAGAGGAGGAATTGATGGGGTTTGGGGGAAAAAAAAAAAGAAAAGGTTACTCACATTGTATCTGGTATCCAGTCCACAGTGGTTAAGTAACTGTCTCTGGTTCAGTTTCAGGTCTCCGTTCACATGGAGCTGAGACCCTGGCACAGGAGAAAAAAACTGAAGAAAAGCCATGCTCTGCATCACAAGTGTTGACATTCTCTGAAATGGTGAACACAAGAATAGAGAATTTAGCTGGGAGACAGGAGGACAGGACAAACAAAGGCAACACACTTTCTACCTCCTTCTATCTATCTGTAGATTCTTTGCATGGGTTTGATTTTTTTCTGATTCTCAAGTTTCAGATTGTCACAATAGTCTAAATGAGGGAAGACCAAATAAGAAATATGAATTACTTTCTTAAGTGAACTACCTTAGCTGTTAGTTAACTAACTTTATAAACTAATCAAAGTAGCACAGGAAATTCAGTGAATTCCAACAGTTTGTGGCTAATGACAGAAAGATTTGACTTGTCATAACACACAAAAAGCAGCAAGATGACCCAACACATTAATTGGAAACACTTTAAAATACTCAGCAAAGTCAGCTAAGGACTCCTGCTCTGCAATAAGAACCAAACAAGGAAGTTCCTTAGCCCTTACCAACCACTCAACCTGAATGAAATTTTTCACATTTACAGTAAAACAAAGGTGTGGTGGATAGCAGAACTCTCTGTGATACTAATCACCGACCTAATACTTCAGCACAAATTTAGGACTGTCAGGCCTTTCTCTGGGCCTCACAGGACTAACAATGTTTTCTCCACCACACAGCTATGCTTCCTAAGCTTGCCCATCTGCAATCAGCAAGTCTCTTGGATAAGCCAAGCCTAATCTCCCTAGTAAAACAACTTCTTATCTCTGTGGCTGCATCCAACACAGCTCTATACTACTGCTCGTTTCAGATGCATGCACAGATTCTTTGTGCACTAGTGTTTTACCCACTGCTTTAGGTATTAATTTCATCGTCACAATAGCAGCAGAATTTTATTTTCCTGTCTCCCTGTTACAAGGTACAGAAGATCCTGGCAGATGATTACCATCGCTTCAAGAGCTGCTAAGTAAGCAAAACCGATGGAGTTTTAGGCTGCTGCAACAATCCTGCCCCTCCACCTCAGAAAACTGATTATGTCAAGGCACAGCAACACGTAAGAATGCACATCCTTCTGCAAGACTCTCAGTTACTAGCTGATGCCTGCCCCACCAGTGCTGTGCATCTCTGTCATCTGTCCAGCACTAGAGCCCAAGAGAATATACAGCTTCAACATCAACAAAAAAAAAATCTAACAAAATGTATCAAATACATAGCAGAGCTAGACTAGGAATGATAAAGCAGAGGAGAAAAATAAATATTTGTTAGGAAAATAAATCTTTTAGAAAGGAATTTCAAATGTGGAAAGGCTCTTTCATCCTTTGCATAACTATTGCTGGGATGTTACACTGGGTCTGTATGTCACAACAAATAAAACTAAAAACGCTCACATAAAGCTGGTAGGAAAAGAGTAGCATCAGCTGAACACCAACTACGTGCTCTGTAGGTTGTAGTGGAAGTTCCAACTTGAAATACAGCTGATCCATCTTGCCATCCTGATTTTTGTCATCTTCTCTGGTCTAAAAGAATCAGTAAGATTTATTTTTTTTTTAAAGACAGGAAACTTCTGATAGGGAGAAACCCCCAAAAAGCCCCGTAAACCCCCAGGGGATCTCCACAACTGCAGCATGCACATACTAAGGAAGCCAATAAACTGCATAGTTAAGAAAGCAACAAAAAGCTGATCGACAGACACAGGGCTAGAGATAAGCAAGAAACCTGTAATTCTGTCTGTTATACAATGTCTCCCAGGAAGGGAAAGCTTAGGTCTCTTCTGCCCCACTCCATCTCCCCTGCACACTACAAAAGCATGTCTTAGTGCTGGATCTCCTGTCACATCCTGTTCCAATGTGTGACTGACGGTCAGGCTTTTGTCTCTCGCCATTGCAGCCTGCCTCTTAATGGCCCATGTATGCGAACTTCTGGTTGTGAGCCAAGGCTTGCTACACCACTGTGCCACACTCAGTCCTTCAGCTGTTTTCAAGTATAATAAACCCAACGCTGAAGAATAACTGCCGGGGTTGCATCCCAGAAGCAACAATGGCTACAGGGCAGAAGGTGTATGCTTCAGAAAGCACACACCTGCCTTCGAAACCAGGGATTACCTACCAGCCCCTGCAAACTTCACTGAATAGAATCATTGAATCATCAAGGTTGGAAAAGACCTCTAAGATCACCTAGTCTGACCATCAATCCAACAGTACCATGACCACTAAACTGTATCCTGACATACCACATCTACACGTTTTTTGAACACCTCCAGCGATGGCGACTCCACCACTGCCCTGGGCACCCTGTGCCAGTGCCTCACCACTCCTTCCGATCCCGGTAAGCCACATGGCGCGTGGGCAACTCGTTTGAGGGAAGTAAACGTGTTCATGCAGAACACCTGTGGCGCTTAGTGACATGGTTTAGCGGGGGACTTGCGAGTGCTAGGTTAGTGGCTCATATACCCTTGATGATCTTAAGGGTCTTTTCCAACCTAAACGGTTCCATGTTTCCATAATGCTGAGAGGGAGCAAAACTGGACTGGTTAAAAATCACTTCTGCCAAACGGATTTTGTGAGGCATGAGGATATGCACGAAGCTGCTGCTACCTGAAGGCTGCAGGGCA